TGTCAATCAAATATTAGTCACTCTTAATATATTTTTGAGTTACTTTAATCTATCAAGTTTTAAATCTGTCTTATGTGTGTATTTATTGTATTTTTAGTGCCAGAAGCTGGTGTTTGAGTCCAGCTAACAGCAATGATTTTTATACTGATTTTCAAAGTACATAGGTTTGTTTCATTTTAAGAGGGGTCTATCACAATCTTCCCATCTCTATTTTACCTTGAACCTTACTATCATCCTATGAAATATGAAAACTGTCTAATATACAAAATTTACTTTTGAATGATTATTTATTACACAACAGTAGCAGGTGTCATAAAACTAAGAACCATCTGGAAAGACATTTGCATGAAATCAAAGATCAGACTGTTGTATGTGTTGGCTTTCTCAATCTTTCTGTATGCCTGCAAATCTTAGACATTAACAGCAGAATTACAGCAAAGAATCCAAGAATTAGAAATGAGATGCTGCAGAAATATTCTTGACCTCTTCTATGCAGACCACATTACAAATGATGTAGTGAGAGACACCGTCAGATGAGAAACAGGCTTGTTGGAAAACCTCATGCATACAGTCAAGGAGAGAAAGTTGAGATGCATACATCATAAGAGCCAATAATCTTTCTGCTGCCATCTTACAATGTTCTTGGGCAAAAGAGGCAGACAGAGGAAGAATAGTTTAACAACGCCAGTGTGTGGACTTGAAGCCTATTCACATAGACTCAGATATTGATATGCAACCAAGAAATATGAAGGGAGCTGGTCATGTGCTCAGCTGCACAGTGACCCTACAACTACACCTGATTATGAGAATAATGATGATGATGGTGATTTATTACACAGATCAGACTCAGCCTATGGTACCAAACTTCTTAAGTTTTTAATAGCCACTAGATGTTTCTATCTATTAAGTTTGTATTATGAAAGGATAGTAAGAATAATGAGCCTTATTTAGCTTCTCAAACTGTCTTTATTGTAATAATGTGACTTCATTATCTTAGAATAATCCTAATTTCTTAAAAAATATTGAATATTATTTGTGGTAAGAATAAATCCCCCAAATGAAAAGAGTAAAACCTTTTCAGGAGAAAAAGAAAACTAATCTATTGCTGTTGTGGTTTTTACTTATTTAGTGCTGGATATTCAAAAATATCTTACATAGACACTGGTCCATAAAGATGAAATATGGAAAATAGATATACAAAAGGAGAAAAAAAAAGTCAATAAAGGCCACATGTCAGGCATAAAAGAAGAGACACAATTATCAAAAGAAAATATTTTTGTTGTATTGTTCAACCTGATTGCATATATCCATTGTGTAAATGAAGATCTCCTGAATCTGATTACTATATCAGCCAAATCAGAAAAACAAAACACTTTAAAAAATAATGTTGTAGCAGAAGGATTCAGAAAGAAAAATATAGAACAAAACGTTTTCCAAAATCTATTTCTATTATCAAGACAATGTCTGTTTAAAGGGTTAAATAAATAAATAAAAAAGAAATACAGTTCTTTGTCTTTCTCTTTGTTCTATGCTTCATAATCTATTCTCTCTGCTGATACTCTCCGCACGGATAAACCATTTTTATCCTCTTTCTTTCTTTCTTTGATTTGGTTCCTTTTTTTCATTTCATCTCTTTTTTTTTCTTTTTTTTGTATTTTGCTTCTTTTTCATTTTGTTTCTCTAATTTTTTTGTCTTACATTTTGTTTCTTTACTGTTGTCGTAAGATTTGTTCTTTATCGAAGATGCAATAATTCTATTGTGATTGATGCATAGAAGAGCGAAGAGTGGATTTTTTTTCTTCTTTCAGTAAAATGCTTCACAATATGAACTTGCAGAATTTTATTGTTTCTCCTGTCACTTGTGGTGAAACAAAGTTGAAAAAACTTTTTCCAAAACTATCACCTCAAATTTTACACACACCTATTTGTACTGGCTTTTTGTCAATAAATGAATAAATAAAGAGAAAATAGGAGTGTAAAGAAAGTGACAAGTTATCATTTCTGCTCCAATTCTTGTTTTCTTAAAAAATATTTAATATTCAAAGAATTGAAGATTTCAAATTCTTATGAGAAAATTAAAAGCTCCTCAGATATTTACTTCATTTACATATCTATAAGTCTCCCATTTGCTTGTGCTTAGAATATGGCTGCTACATACAGTCTATTTACCATGAGCTCATTGATAAGATCCAAAGAAGAATCAGCAATATTATTGGTCCTGATCTGGCAGCTCAGCTTCAGTCACTTTCCCACTGCCATAAAGTTGACTCTCTGTGCCTTTTTTATAAATACTTTCATCGTAATTGTTCAGATAAGCTCTTTGTTATGGTACCTAGACTTCATGAATTTAAGCACAGTACTAGACTGGCATCAACATCTCATCAATTTAGAGTTTAGTTATCTACATATAACTATAAGTTCTATGCTAACAATGTCAATCACTGTCTACTGTCCTCCTGATTACTCTTTTCTTTTCATGTGCATTATTAATGTTTCAGTTTCTAATTCTTCCACACCCTGTAACCCTTTGTGTTTTAGTGGATTTACTGCCTTGCTAATACTGATAAAAAAAAAAGAATTCTTTTTAAAAATTTAAAGAATATCTATTGAATATTTGTTGTGATTATTTGACACTGAGGATCCCTGAATCAAGTTGAACTGGTTAAAAATCAAATTCTACATTAAGAGACCTGTTTGATTTTAGGCATTTTGCTTTACTGTCTTCTTCCTCCTTCTTTTTCTTCTTCTTTCCTTCAGGACATTGGTGATCATGGGTCTTCACAATTTCCTTTCATCTGTTGCTCTCAACAAATGTTATCTTTCTGCTATCTCTCCCAAACCCTGCTCTGCAAACTATTCACTAGCTAAGTAGGTGTTATGTATTGCCTTCCTCTGACCCTCTTGCTTTTAATTTGTTCTCTGAATATAAAATTTTCAAAGCCCTCTTTCTTCATTATGTACCCTAGAAATTTTACCTATCTCTGTATAAGGGTCCTTTTTATTTCCATTGTCTCTAGAACTTTGTCTTTGTTCACATGTTCAGTCTATGGTATTCTCAGCATCCTTCTGTACAACCACATTTCTCTTGCTTCAAGTCTCTTCATCTGTGAAGAGATTCTCCAGTATTCACTACCATATTAGAAGACTGATATTGCAAAACATTTCAGCACTCTTTTCTGTATTTCTAATGAAACTTTTCTGTTTCTTAATAATTTGCTTAGTTTTTCAAAGGTGGCACATTTTGCTATTCCAATGTGCCTTCAGATTTCAATGTCACATTTTCCGTTCTCTGTTAAAACACTTCTCAGATATTCAAATTTTTGTACCTGTTTGATTTTGGGATCTCAAATTTGTAATTTGCATATTGGGCTGTTCTTTTTGCAAACAACCATGCATTTCATTATCTCACAATAGATGTTTAGTCCTTTCTTCTTGCTTTCCTTCAATACCTTCTGTAGGGGTTCTTGTCCTTAAAAAATGAAAACATGTTTGAGGTACCATTTTAAATGCAACACATGAATAAAAGTACCAGTACAAATATAATAGTTCATCTCTTTCTATTTAATGTGTCACTTCAGGTCATAGATAATTATAGCTCTTCCTATCCTTTGCAGCTCTTAGAAATGTTTTCCTTCTTACTATCCCTGTTGTTCCAACGATTTGCATAAGCATTAAGCAGATTCCTCACTGTTTTCCTCTGGCCTTCACCATCTCATGTGAGGTTTATCAGTTAGTGTCATCAAAAAGAGAAATCAGTGAGAAAAGTTCAAATTCAGGTTGGGTTCATTGATTTCACTTTCATACAAGAGCTCTTGAGAAGTATATGAAGCCATCTCTTCTCTCCCAGCTATGGTTTAAATAGTAGAGCAGACTAGGATCTCTAGCATAGGTTGGCAACCAGACTAGGAGGAGGAAAACTCTGAATTCAAAACTGGTCATGTAGTGGTTGGCAACTCCATCTCATAAAAACATACTTGCTATGGAAACCACACAGCAACATCTAGTGTAGTGAGTCTGTGGCCCTATACTACACTGAGGAGTCTACAGAGTTAACATGATTCCATTCCATAAAAACATACTTGCTATGGAAACCACAATAGTGTAGTGAGGCTGTGGCTCTATACTTGACAGGGCAGTGTACATGGTTAACATGACTCCATTCCATAAAAATTTACTTTCTATGGAAACCACACAGCAACATCTAGTGTAGTGAGGCTATGGCCTTATACTTGATGGGGCAGTCTTCAGAGTTAACATGACTCCATTCCATAAAGCATACTCACTATGGAAACCACAACAGCAACACCTAGTGTATTGAGGCTGTGGCCCTATACTCTACAAGTGAGTTTGGAGAAGTTAGAGACTGAATACAAGAACTTGGAGACAAGGTAAGAGATTACAGGCTATAGACTGCAGAGAGAAATTAAATCAAATTGCATTAGCTTAATATATTTGAAATCATACAGAAAAATCATTTTATGTAGTTTCTGTTAGAACACATGAAATATAGAATGACAATGTATTGAGGCTCTTTACCAGAATAACATCTCACCTGGAAGTAGCCAGTGGCATTGTGAGGCTCTACTATGCCTAACAATATTTCATGCTGCAAAAAAATAATCATCATGGTTTGAACAGGTTGAGAATAATATGCCTGTGAGTAAATTCCCAGGGCCAAACAAACAAAAGAACTAAGATGTGACATGTTCTTTTCTTTTTCTCAGTAGTATATTGAAGTGAAAAGTAGTTTTAGAATTTGAAGATATTCTCTGTTTTATGTATATGTTTTTGGAGGATCCCAATTTTGCATGCATTTGTGAGATAATCTTCTGTAATCTTATGTAATATAGATAAATGTCTATAGAAGTTTTGCTTAGATAAGTTGGGTATGAGATCATCTATATGAGGTACCAAGTGAGGATTAAAATCTCAAGTGTATTAAGTGTATTGCACACCATTATTACATGGCAAGGTGATTTTGATCTCTTTATTTATCTGAGATTTTTCATATCTATCTATCTATCTGATATTTTTTATATTTATCTAAGATTTTTCATATCTCTCTTTTTGATTTGGTTTGTTTGTTTACTGGCATATCAACTCCTTATTGGTCATTTAATGACAAAATTTTCTTTTCTTGTGACCTCTAGTAAATTTTTGTTTTTCAAAAAATATATTGCTGGTAATTTTTTAATCTTTTTTAACTATGAAAATGTATTTCTGGCAATTTTTTGTAATGTATTTCTATATTTTCATGTTTTGAACTGAGTTTGCAGATTCACTACTTGCCCATAACTGGAACCTTAACAGCTGGTACCACCCTGGGTCAGAGTGAATCTGGGTATAACAGGAACTAAGAGGGGATTTCATGCTCCTCAAAACCTCCCAATCAGAAGCCTTGCTGCTGGATATAATTTATCATCAATCAATCTATCTATAACAGTTCTAAATATTGTAATATGAGAGCATAACATTTTCACAAAGTCTGGTTCAAGGCTTTGATAAAAGAGCATCTTAAAAAGATCAAATTCACAAGCAATAATTTTTTAAACCAGCCTGTTAACCATTGCTCCATGACAAAATCTTTCTATTAATTTTTCTGCCTATCTAGCCATAACACAAAGTTTAGTCTGGTACAAGGCTACAAATATGTTAACATGTGAGCATTAAACTCAGTACAGTAATAATGAAAGACATGACTGATTTGCCAGCTAAACTTCATGTTTTTTTATTGTTATTTCACACAATACAAGGCCCAAGTGACACTCAATGTAGAGAATTACTGATTGAGATTTTTGTAAGAAAAAGAGGAAGAAGTAAGAAATTCATATTTTGATAACGTGTAGGGATATTGGTTAACCTTGGACTTAAAAGAGACCAAGATTATAGTTCTGGAGAGGAAGCTGTTTGAGTGGAACTTACCCCTTATCAATGGAACACAAAGTTAATGGGGATGATTTTCCACCAGGAACATGGTATGTTGGATCCTAGCTGTGAAGGGTTTAATCTGGTAGAACTAAGGAATGTAACTTGTCTGAATATCTGCATGAGTAATAGTGATACATCAGTGAGAGGCTAGCAATGTTTCATCTGTTGAATAAGGGTTGCAGGGTGAAGAATAATTCATCACCTACAAGGCTGCATATTGCTTTTGAACTATCAAGGCTGAACAGAGAGGGCCGGGTAGCTCCAGCCCAGACATGGCAGTAATATGTCATTCTTGGTTTGATTTGACTTTCATAAAGACAGAGCATGGCAGCAGGAGTCTGGTATTTTTTGGAGCAATACAAGGAACCAACCATTCTTCCATCATCTTTTGTGATGACACTAATATACATGTTCCATTTGAGGTTGGGAGTGACCTTTAGACTCAGTAGGTTCAGAGTTTGTTTGGTGATAATGAAATGTTACTAATTTAGTTTGGGAAGCATTGAATTATACCAGCTAGCCTTTCCAGCATTGAGCTGTGAGAGGTAGGTCAGAGTAGAGATCAGCTACCAGATACCTACTAGGTCTAAAACTCACTCACAACCTCAAATGGAATGTGCATATTAGTGTCATCATAAAAGATGCTGGAATAATGTTTGGTTCCTTGTATCACCCCAGAAAGTACGTTTTATTCTTGAGGCTTTCACAATATCTGATGCACAAAGTTTTATTTCATCATTATCAGAATAATATTAACAATGATCAGAATAATATCTTGTTCGTTAATCAAAGAATTCCCAGAATTGATTTTATCTTTGCTATTTTTGTAAACCTACTTTTTTTCTTTAAATTTTAACATTTTCATCTTTGTTGTTTATAGATTACAGGGTGTCTAAAATATGCACACAACTTTTGAAGCTTTGTCAAGGAATAACTCAAGCAACTAGAACCAACTACATTTTTTAATCAGTATCAGTAGCCCCTTGAATCTTACTGCCTTACTTGTAGTGAATTGATTAAAAAGTTAACAGTGGAAACTGAGGTCAACATGAAGTGGCAACACTCTGTTTCATGCTTAAACACAAACTTCAGTGCTAAATTTAGTATCCACTCTTATATTTACACACTCTATCCCAGATATTATTTTTTTTTAATTTTTATTTTTAATCATTACGCCCCGAGCAAGGCGTGAAGCCACTAGGATGCAGGGGGTTGCAGAAGATTTGGAGTGAGAGCAGATAGGAGTGATAGAAGAAAGGATGAGGAGAAGGATAGTGGATAGATCAAGGTAACTGGAGGTGTCGATTGACATTCCACAGGCGAGAGGTGCAAGGTATGAAGCTATTGGAGTAGAAGAGATGGCTACATTTAAAAGTTTCTATAGTGTAAGGGTGGGAGCGGGATGCCAGCCTCGTAGGGCGATATTGAGCACTTTTACAAATAAATATAGCATATCTTAAAACTATGCAATAATCCATGCACATATATATATTTATCGATATCTTCATCCATAGTTATGAATTTACTTATGTGTGTGTATATATACACACACATACATATATATCAATAAATATACATAATACCCCATGTTGACAGCATGACTCAGAGTTTCATGCACAACACAATATTTATTAATATATACTTAATAGCTCAGTTATTTTGCTTTGAGCACCGTTTTACTTACACTTAAGGATATATATATTTGTATGTGAAGACGTGTGTACATTTATTTATATTTATTTATTTGATTATATATATATATATATATATATATATATATATATATATATATAAAACCAAATATATTTACTAAATCTATATTATATGCAAATTTCTACTCAAATAAAAATATTTTTTATAACTCTATATATAATACTTAAGTTTTATACATGTTGTTTATTTAAGTTTATTCTTAATCAGAAATTTTTTTATATATATCATCAGATATATTTATGTATATTTTCATACACACATATACTGAAGGTAACATCAATCAGCTAAATTATAAATTTTATATTTGTATTAATTCTATTAATGCTCTAATATCAAACACTTTATTGCAAGGAATGCTTTTTTTTAAAATTGGTATCACCCAACGCAAAGCAATAAAGCTATTAAGATACAAGGAGCTCCTGGGTGTGGATGAATTAGGAACAGAAACATTAATAATGAGTAGAAAGGGAAAAGATTAATCAGGTGGATAGTAGATAGATTGCAACTGACATTACATTTAAATTTTTACAGATTAAAGTTGGCTGTAAAGCAAGGAACCCGAAGAGAGTTCCACAAGTGAGAATTGTGAGAAAAGAAATTGTTAACAATAAACTGATGACATCTTGATGCTAGATAACCATAGTGAAGAGTTCATCTGAATACTTACAATAAAAGTTTTATATAGGCACAGACAGGCAACTTTATGGTGGTGGGAAAGTGACTGATGCTGAGCCATCAGATCAGGACCAATAATATTGCTGATTCATCTTTGGATTTTATCCAGGAGCTCAAGGTTAATATTAAGGACACCAGACCATATGTGGGAGAAATAGTTTAAGCATGGCTGAATGGTAGACTTCTAGACATGCACGATAAATTTGGGAGAGAAAAATTGTCTCACCCGACACAGTGAACTAATTTAAATAGTGCATTTGAAGACAGTATTTATTATAAATGCATGCTGTTAAGATTCTGTCATTGCATGTTTTCAAATTTATGATCCAGACATTACTGACAATGCAACATTACACAATGGAATCACAAGCAGCAATTAACATTTCAATAGATATTTGGCTGCATTCTAGCTCTATTGAAACTTTAATTTCAGTAATTGCTGCTGGCTTTGTAGTGTAGAATTTATCTTTTAAAGCTCCCCAAAAGAAAAATTCTAAAGAGTGGGGTCTGGTGAATGAGGAAAAAGCCTGTAAAAATGTGTATTTATTTTTTGGGGACACCCTGTATAAGAAAGGATTTTAGTGAAAACTGTTATTCCTACAGTATGGCTAAGGCTAATCTCTAGGAGACTGACTTATTGCACCTTCTCGAGCTAACATTCTCAGACTGACATGAAGTGGAAAGACTATATTTAATTCATTGCTCAGTCAGCTGCTAAGAAAGTTGGTTCACTATATCGTACAAGATAATTTTTCTTTGCAGAATCTATCTTACATATCTATAAGTCTACCATTCTTCCATGCTTAGAATATTGCTGCTACATCTAGTCCAGTGTTCCTGCTATATACTTAGAGATTCTCAATAAGATAGAAAGAAGAATCCGCATTATTATTGGTTCTGACCTGGCACCTCAGCTTCAGTCACTTTCCCACCACTGTAATATAGCTTCCCTGTGCCTTTTCAATAAATACTTTCATAGTAATTGTTTAGATAATCTTTTCACTACTTTACCTCGACTTTATGAATTTAAGCAGAGTACTAGAGTAGCAACAAGGCCTCATCAGTTTACACTTAAATTGGTTAGATGTAACTGTAAGTTCTATGTTAACAGTTTCTTCTCCAGCACTTCTTACTTGTGGAACTCTCTTTTTGATGCATGCTTTCCAGGCAACTTGGATCCTGAAAAATTTAAATGCAATATCATTATTATATCCATGGTATTCTCACCATCCTTCTATAGAACCACATCTCTGTTGCCTTGTTTCTTTTTATATGGTGAGGAAATTGTCCAGCATTTACTGACATATAGGTGGATTGATATTGCATAATAGTTTAGCTCTCTTTTCTTTGTTTTTAATGAAATTTTCATATTTCTTAATAAATTGCTTACCTTTTAGAAGGTATCTTTCCTTTATTCCAATGTACCTTTAGAATTCTTTCTTAATCTTTCTCAGTGTAGTATGTATCCATACTGACTAGGACCAGATTGTAATGTCTGTTCAAAGTGATATGTGCATACACCTAAGTTGTGTTAAATTCAGCCAACAAGGTCTGTATGTCTCATTTTCTTTTTTTAATATTTTTCCAATTTTTGAATAAATTCCTCTTGGTTGGGACAAGAATTTTTCAGCGTCTTCCAGATACTGATTTTTATCTGTGTGTAAAGGTATGCATCCAAATATAGAAATATATGCATGTGGTGAGAGGATATTTAAATTATTATATATATATATATATATATATATATGTGTGTGTGTGT